TATAAGGGTGACAGAGTTTCCACCAATATAAGAAAAACATCCCTGGGATTTCTTGTTTGGTGATCAAAAAATCTGGCCTTGCCCTGACCAGTGGGATTCGGTTGGTTGGATGTTGTGTTGCAAAGTGAAAGGTCATGGGTTCAGTTCCCGGTCAGGGTACATACCTGGGTTGTGGGTTCAGTTCCCAGTCAGGGCGTGTGCAAAAGAAACCAATCGATTTTCTCTCACACACCAATGTTTCTCTCCTCTCTGTCTCACTTCCTTCCCCTTCCTCTAAAATCAAATAAATAAAATCTTAAAAAAAAAAAAACAGGAAAAAAAGGAAGAACGGGAGGAAGAGAGGGAGGGAGGGAGGAATGAATCTGGACTTCAGGGGAGTTGCTGGTGTGGGAGGTGAGAGGTGATGGGAAGGGTGGGCAGCCAGCAGCAAGGGTCTCCCTAACCCCATGTTCTGCCATCTCTGGTGGGGCTATTCTTGACCAGACTGCCTCGCTTCCAGCTCAGATTCTAGTGGAGATCACATTAGGGTGAATATATAGATTCTTATGGATACAGAAGCTGTAACAAAAACCTCCCAGCAGCGGAAACAGTCATTGAGTCAACATCGGAGGAAGAGGCAGTCAGAAGAAGCAGGCTAGCAGGCCAGATGTGGAGTTAAGAGGCAACAATGGGATTTGACAGAGAAGAGATGCTTGGTGGCTAGAATGACTGCCTGTAAGTCTTAGACAGGTGGTGCCTCCCCCACTCTGGTGCTAAATGCAAAGTCCTGAATCCAATACATGCTTCACACCCCTCAAACTCAGGAAGGGATGTGGGTCCCTTACTAAGTCATTGGTGCCAGGGCTCACTCCATCCATGGCTGCAAGGGTGACCTTATAAATATCAGTAAAATGTCACTTTCCTTAGATAAATCACCTGGTGCTACTTGGAGAATAGACTGAATTTAGTTCCACAAATGCTATATAAAGAAGGCTATTAACCTACCCTTAAACAAAATCTAAATAACCACATTTTCTTTGGAGCTGAGGCTTGCTGATTACCTGAAGCCAAGAATAAGAGAGGCTATCTGAAAGGCTAGAGGGGACATAATCAAATACACCCATTCTTCAAACGTCCAGCAAAAGAGCAGAGTAACACTGTGACAATGACCATGACCACCACCATCACCAGACACACCCACACATTTACATCCAGGAAAATTACTCTCTATTGCATGGGATCACAACTGTCTTTATTATCTCCAATGATGGTCTCCTACAATGTGACCAGGCCCATTTTGACCATATGGGTGGACCCAAAAAGGCTTAGTGTCCCTCTCCAAATAGCCAATCCCCCTGCCTATCAAAAACTACACGGTCCAAGAGAGATCTCTGCCAAGAGTCAGGAAGAGTGAGTTTCCATCACCTTGAGAGGCATTTGGGGTTAATACGCAGACCCCGGAGTCAGTCTGCCTGGGTGAAATCTCAGGGCTGCCACATAGCACCACTGTCAGCATATTAACTTGGGAAAAGCTAAGACTAACTAGTGATCAAATCTGGGGAGATGGAGACAGGCTTTCTGCACGCAGGTAGGTACCAAATTAGGTCTCTGCAGAGCAGGGCGATGTGGGAACATGCAATTTTGTTTCTTTTATCTATAGTGACTATGAGGCCAGAAATGTCAAGATCTGGCTCTTGGAGTAGCTTTATATTTTGGGTCTTAAAAGTATTGCACAGTGAACTAGATAGATGATACCTTCAAGTCATGAGCAAACTGATTTGAGGTCAGCATCACCAGGTGAGAATCAGGGGGAGCCAGTCAGAACCAATCCTGGAGCCCAGATATGTGGCTCCAAGAATGCAGGAATCCCCCCAAACGCCTTCATTTTTTCTGCTGTTCCCAGCAATGACACAATACATCGTAAGCTTTGATTTTTCTGTGACCTAAGCAAAAACCCAACACTACACACAGTACAGGGAGAAACACCAAGTTCCATAGATCAGTGTTCTTTCATCTGTAACATGTGGGTAGAATTGGTAATCATCTTAGTAGGAAAATCACTCTGAAATATGAGAGATTTTGGAGGCTTAGAAGTTCCTGTCTCTTATAAACAAAGTCACCACATCTAAAGGGAACAATCTCATTAATTTGAAAAGCTGGATCAGCCACAGTGCTAAAGTTCTTAGACCTAGAACAGTGGAATCTGCCGCGCACATACTTGTTTGCTCATCTCCTACTTGTTGAGCACATACTTTGTACGGTCTATTCTGGGGGTGTGGGCAGAGGGAGAAAGTTGGGGAGCACAAAAGTGGGGATAGCAACAATTACAGAAAAGTAGCTAAGACACTTCACCTTTGACGAGTTTACAGGTCTGGTCGTCTTGAAAAACTACATTCCCTGCTTGAAGCAACCCAGAGTAACCCAGCTGAGCCCCACCAACATTCCTGTTCCAATGGCAACTGATCAGGCTATAAATCAAGGCACTTCAGAACACCCCTGATTTCATGGAATTAAAGAGCTGACGAGATGCAAAACTGAAATAATTTACCCAAGGTTTGCAGCTAGTTTCCGTATAGAGCCACCTCCAGGTCTCTGCACTGAAACTCCTGCTGGACCCCATAGAGACCCCGCTCAAGATATGAGGTGTTTACAATGTGAGGGGGCAGAGACACCCCATAATTCTGACCCAGCCATCAGCAGACAGAAACTGGCTATCCAGTACGGGGAGCAGAAGCTCTGCACTTGCCACAGGGGAGCAACTCAAGGATACAACTTCTCATGGAATAAACCTAAGAGTCCTCTAACCATATATAGCATCCATTAAAACAGGCTTATGGGAGCAACAGCACAAGAAAATACTTGTTGAATTTAAAATTCAAAACTAAAATATATAGAAACTATATGAACAAACTATACACAAAGGAAAAGGCAATAGCAACACACTACTGTGTTCAAGACTTACAGAGTGGGCCTCTTTTAAAACTGGGTGATTTTTAATCTTCATTATTTCTCTATATTCTCTATAAGCCAAATACTCTTTCACAATCTTGAACTACTTATATATTGTTTGATGCTTTGACTACCTCAGTGCAAAAGAGACAAAATGTTGATGGTAGGTGGGCACAGGGCAGAGGGCACGTGAGCAGGGACAGGTAAGAACAAGGAGCAGACGCTAGCCGCACACCCCGCACGTGGGGCAGAGCCGCTGCTGGTCGACCTCAGTCTGTGCTGTTAGTTAATCCCCCCTGCTCTGCCCCTTCCTTATTCAGTCATCTTACTTTGAGCCACTTACCTAATCTCTTTAAATCCTACTTCCTCAACTGTAAAAGGTAGATATTAATAGGACCTTCCTCATGGGGATGCTGTACAGATTAAGAAAAAATAATGCAAATAAAATGTGTAGTCAAGTGCTGACAGAAAGTAGGAGCCAATAAGTGCTAGCTGTCATGATGGTGGTGACCGAGGCAGTTAGTATTAGAGTTACTCTTTTTTACAGCCATTGTTGTCATTGTTATTATGACTATCATGATGATGATGGTGATGATGTTCCTACACTGTGCTTAACATTATAACTACAACGGCATTAAGTTTCCTACTTTGGGAGATCACCAAATGCTCTCCCTATGGCTCATTGCTGGAACGTCATTTCTCTGATCTCCATATTCTACAGGTTTATTAATAGCAGACTCTTAAATTGAAGTAACAGCTGGCCCACCACCCAATATTCCCTGAGGGTTAACAGTGATAACATACAGATTCCTAATCGTTTTCCTGGACCCAATTAGGGTAGTACAGTATCATCCTTTTTTAAAAAAAGGCAAGGAGGAAAGCATCTTAGTAGACACCTACAGAACACTGCTTTGTACTTGAAACACATAATTAGCACTAACAAATGGGTGCTAATAATTCAGTCTGCTCCTTAGACAAGAAACAGGAAGGTAAACATGGCCCAGGCCCATCAGCTCCCAATCTCACACAACTTCCTCTGGAGGCTGCCTCCTTCACCCATGAGATGCAAGGTGGGAGGTCTGTTGGCAAGGCAGAGGGCCTCTGGGCTGGGAGGTGAGAGCCCCCGCCAGGGAGATTACTCAGCAGACCAGGCTTAGGTCCCTGAAGCCTCAAAAAGATATTCCTGCCCTGGCCAGGTGGCTTAGTTGGTTAGAGCATCATCCCGTACACCAAAAGGTTGTGGGTTCCATCCTCAGTTGGGACATGTATGGGAGGCAACCAATTGATCTCTCTCTCCCCCTGCACTCCTCACCCCTTCTTCTCCCTCTAAAACCAGTAAACATATCCTTGGGTGAGAATTAAACACACAGAAAAAAGTCATTCCTTGGTCTTAGCAACCTGCCCTCAGAAAAGCAGATCTCAGATTTGAATTTTTCACAGGGAAAAATGGAGACATGCTAATAACCGAACCTGGTCAGCCTGTGTATTAAGCACCACACCTAAACGAAAAGGGCAAAATGAAGTAAAAAGCAGCCATCAGTAAAACACAGCTTGAAATGTGCCCACATCGATGCTGTTGCCTCTTCTCTGTTAGAGTAACACTCTCATCCTATTTTGGATCTGGAAATATTTTCTAATCCTTAACATTCAAATGTCCTCTAATTACAAATGTTCAATAAGCAGAGCATGCACTCACTAAGCCGGGTTGACAATGTGGTGCACTTGACACAGACCCTTGTGAGCATCACTTCCCACTCCTCGGACATTCTTTCCCCTGTAACTGGGACCATTACTCCAGGGGGTTCTGTTTTAATTGACTATATTAGTGTATTATGTGGGAAGCAGAGAAGTCTTCGATCCACTGGTCACTCCCTCCTTGGGATGACCATAAATGGAAATAAAGCCAAAACCGGGCTTTGAAATGCCAGCACCGCAGGCTAGAAGGGGACGGAAAACCTGGCACACTGCCGAGGAGATGGGCTAAGGACGGCATGCACACGGCTCCCTGACCACCTACTCCCGAGCTTCCGAACAAAATGCAGAGGGTTGTCTGTAGTCGCTTCCATTCTTACCTTGAGAGAGAGCGTGGCTGTCAGACTCCGCTCCTGCAGTGAAGGGGCCTGCACCCAAAGGAAGTAACCTACAACCTAGAAAGGTAAAAAGATAAGGTAAGAGCCACTGCTGACGAAGAGTTACATTCCTGAACAACTGGAATGTTTCCTCATAAAAGGCAGGTCTCCAGATGTTTGAAGACCTTACAGAGTGGAACAGCAGCAATATAACCAATTGAACAACATCAAATGCTTGAAATCCCTGGAATCAAGTCAGAGTGAGCTAATGTTTTATTAACACACACCTGGACCCCGTCTAATTGGGAATGGTAATGATTGGTGAAATCATGCACCTCATCACGTCCCTCCACAAAAATGGCTGTTTAGCAAGGAGCTGGCAGAACTCCGCATAACACTGACACACACCAGGGTATGCTGGCAGGTCAGCACATTCACACACAATGAAAACTCTATGCCATTGAACCAGCCCTGCCTTGGACGGCAGCCCTGCCAGCTGATGAGATAATGGCATGAGACTTGAACGTAGACAAGGAGGTGAAAGGGAGTTAGAAACTTTTTCTGCATGCACTCAAATAAGCAACTGTAAAAGACATTGAATGATTATGCCCATTCTTAAATAATTATTTATATCCCTATTGGTGATGGTTAATTTTCTGTATGTAGTCAACTTGGCTGGACTACAGTACTCAATTTGGTCAGACACATCTAAATTGCTGTAAAGATATTTTTATATGTTATTAACATTTAAATTAGTACACTTTGAGTAAAGCAGAATACCTACCATAATGTGGGTGGGCCTCATCAAATCAGTTGAGGCCTTAAGAGTAAAGACTGAGCCCTGGCCGGATGGCTCATTTGGTTAGAATTTCACTCCACACACCAAACGTTTGCCAGTTTGATCCCTAATCAGGCCACACACCTAGGTGGTGGATTCAATCCCTGGTCGGGGGTGTATATGGAAGGCAACTGATCAGTGTTTCTCTCTCACGCTGTTTCTCTCTCATTCTGTCTCTCTCTCTCTCATTTTCTCTCCCTCCTCTTTCCTCTCTCTTTCTCCCCACCCTTCCTCTCTCTCAAATCATTTTTTTAAGACTAAAAACTGAGCCTCCAGCCTGCTAGCCTGCCCTGCAATTTTTTAGACCAGGGACTGAACCCTCAGCCCAGGTGTGTGCCCTAACCAGGAATAGAACCTGCAACCTTTTGGCCATGGGGCATTGCTCCAACCAATCCAGCCACAGTGGCTAGGGCCTACCCTGCAAATTTCAAACATGCCAACCTCCACACACATGTGAGTCAATTCCTTAAAATAAACATCTCTTTCTTTCTCGCCATACAAGGTATATATGTATGTATGGATACAAGAGGGGACCCCCAAGAAGTTATTTATTAAAAGTTATTTATTTATTCTTACATGTTTAAACTTCAGTCACCTTCAAAGTACTTTCCATTTGATACAAAACACCTATCTAGACATTTTTCCCACTGCTCAAAACAGTTTCTAAACACATCAGTTTTGATGCCTTTTAGTGCTTCTCTCCTTGGCTTCCATATAAAAGTTCAGCCATTGTCAATATAACAAGAATGGTTTGCATGATATCGATGTAACCTGGCAGCCAAGGAGAGTGGACTGGAATATGCGTATGTGAACAATGATGATTTCACTGTACTAGTCAGTGGAAGTGGTAGATGCTCTTTAGTGAGCATGTGTGCTGTGTGGCCATCACATTCAAAGTGATTGATCCAAGAGAGCAACAAATCTAAATCAAATTTTGAATAAAGCTTGAACATTCCTCCACAGAAACTCTTCTGACAATTCAGAGGCCACAGCTATGGGCAACTAGTGATTGGCAGCTCCATCATGACAATGTGCCAGCCCACGCATCATGTCTCAGGCAGTTTTTTTGGCAAAACATCATATGATGCAGGTGATCCAGCCTCACTACAGCCCAGATTGGCACCCTGGGACTTCTGGCTTTTCCAAAAACTAAAACCTTCTTTGAAAGGGAAAAGATTTCAGACCATTAGTGAGATTCAAGAAAATACAGCAGGGCAGCTGATGGTGACCAGGAGAACCGTGTGAGGTCCCAAGGTGCCTGCTTTGAAAGAGGCTGAGGTGTCACTGTCCTATGTACAATTGTATCTTGTATCTTCTTCAATAAATGTCTCTATTTTTCATATTACATGGCTGGATACACTCTGGATACATTATATATACACATACATACATACATATATACATATATAGGTATGAGGAAAAGTTAGTGCACAGAAAAGTTATAAAGTACTAAATTATTACTTGATATGGTTCATAAATTGGGTCCTGAGCATCCTAGTGGCCAAAGCAAAAAAGAAAACAGACACAGAATAATTAAATGGACTTTAAAATAAAAATACAATGTATGTACTTCTCAAAAGGGTTAGCTTGTTCTTGTCATTGAGAAATTTCTCCTAATTCCTTGGGTGAATTCTTGAAATATCCTTTATCATCCACACTGGCAGGTTGGGGGATGGGAATAATAATGAATAGTGCCTCTAAGAGTACACAGTAGAGTCTCCCATAATGCTACCTATCTCTTCCCTCAGTGCAAGGTAAGAGGCCAAAGCACAGCTCCCTTAAGTGACTTACCAAGGCCAGAACGATGCCCAGGCACACAGCCATTGGATCATCTGGCTTGACTCAGGGATAAAAAAGAGAATTTCTGGATTAATTAATGAAATTCATATCCTGAGAGATATTCCCCAGAATTAGTATCATTTCCCCCAACAAAAAGCGGGGTGAGGATCGGCTACACCTGCCTGAGACTGGGCTCCAGCAACAGTCTGGAGTAAAGGTTTTCTCTGTTGCTGATGAGGTACAGACCCACAGAAGGACTGCCCTCAGAATGTCCATAAGCTCAGGCTTAAGTTTCTATTTTTGCATTCCTAGGAGTCATATACCCTTCCTGCACTGGAATCAGTTTTTTAAAATATTTTTATGGCAAAATATACTTAACATAAAATTCTCCATTTAACATGTTTTCTTTGTTTTTGTTATTGACACTATTACCATTTAACATTGCAAGTGTATATAGCTAAGTGGCATGAGGTATGTGCACAGTGTCATGCAGCTCTCTCCACCGTCCACTTCCAGAACTGTTCACCACCTCACACAGAGTCCCTGCGCCCACTGAGCAGTAAGTCCCCATGAAGTGGATGTCCCCCAGCCCGATACCCACTGTTCTACTTTCTGTGTCCATGACTTTGCCTATTTGCAGCACCTCATATACATGGAACCATACGTCCGTCCTTCCAGTCCCTATTGCACTAAGCATAATGTTTTCAAGGTTCATCCCTGCTGTATCGTGTATCAGAATTCCGTTCACTTTTATGCTTGAATAATATTCCACTACAAGTATCTGCCACATTTTATTTATCCTGGAATCCATTTTTCTATAATTAATCCAACAATTAACTATCAAATATTTACAATGTGAAAAGTTTGATTATTTTTTCATAATAACTTTATTCAAAGAACCGTGTACAAGGGTCAGAAGAACCACACCACAATGAACCCACTGACTAAGTCCTAGTTTCAGTATCAGTAGCAGCAGCAAGAAAACAAAGTCTATTAAGTGATTTTTCTTCCCTATGGGTTAGGTAAATCTCCCCTACAATTGTAATTACTGTTTTTCATATTCAAAGCTGAAGGGAGATAAGAATATCCCCACTATCTGGAACTCTTCTTGTCACAGTGCCTACAGCTTAAGTGCCACCCTTGCCCCCTGACCCAGTGTTAAGAAGCTTCTTCCAAATGGCTGATGTCAAAAAGTCAGAGAAACTGCACTGCTATGTAGCACTGCTCTCTGTCCCTGCAGATAAGATACCCGGACGGAATCAACTGGAAGAGCATGTCTCCCCCAACCAGCTTGCCATCCCTGAGCTTCTCCTTTCTGAAGCATAGGAATAAGGTAACCAGCCTTCTATGTGGGATGATGGGTCTCAAGACAAACACAGCTCCTCCCCAATGAGACGACTGGATGGTTGAAAGAGACCGCGAGGCTGCACTGCACTCCGGTTTTCTCCTGCAGAGTGCATAAAAGGGCAGACGGCACAAAGGGGGGATGCCACTGCACACCTGGATTCACAAAAAGGGCCCAGGGTGAGTCATCAAAAGATGTCCCCAGGAAGCTGATGAAAAACAATCATTTCTGCACCCTGGAAAGAGAACTGCAAGCAAAATCAAGAGCCACAGAGCACTCAGGCCACTTTGTTTAGCAAAAACTTCTCAGCTCAGCGGACACTGCAATCACCCCAGGCTGCAGGCACTTGGAGGGGTTAAAGTTCACTCACCACTTGGGTGTTCAGTCAGCCAGGAACATGTCATCTAAGCATCAAACACTGTTTTAGAAACTTACAGAGAATTTAGGCTTGAGTTCCGTCCAGAGGTATATAAAGACTGATATCAAGAGGAAGAGTTTTTTGCAGATAAAAACAAAATGAACAGTGTTAAGATTGTTCTTTTTAGTATATAGATAAGGAATCCATTGCCTCTAAAACAGGTCACATTTCCATGGGTTGTATTGGGTTGGCCAAAAAGTTCATTTGCTTTTTTCCATAAGATGGCTCTAGTAACACATGATTGTCTTTACCGCCATTCGAAACAATTTTGTTAGACTATATTGTGACAGCTGTCATATCAGTGAGCATTTAAAAAAAATATCAAAGTTGGTGAATTTTTGTGTAGCCATTTTAATATTGAAGATGGAAGGAAATATGTAACATTTTCAGCATATTATGCTTTATTATTTCCAGAAAGGTAAAAATGCAACTGAAACATAAGAAAAGATTTGTGCAGTGTATGGAGAAGGTGCTGTGACTGATCTGATGCATCAAAAGTGGGTTGCAATGTTTCCTACTAGAGATTTCTCACTGGACAATGCACCACAGTTGGGTATCCCAGTTGAAGTTGATAATGATTAAAGCAAGACATTAATTGAGAACAATCAACATTATACCACTTGGGAGAGAGCCAACATACTCAAAATATCCACTGTCCCAGGGGCCCTGAGCTCCATATCATTGGACTTTTCTGCCTT